CTTCTTCCATCTTTTCCTCAATGACTCAGCTCAAACTTAAATATTCAGAACAGCTTTCCTTTATAACTCTAACTAAAGTAGGGCACCTATCTCCCCAGATACATCTCACTCTATCATGTCCTGTTTCCTGTATACACATTAAAATAGAAATTGTTTTGCTATATTAAATGAAATAAAAATGATTTTGTTTATGGTTTATTTTCTTCCACAAGACTCTTAAGTTTCAGCCAGTCAGGCCCCTTGTTTATTTTCTTCAGTACTGTTTCATTAATATATAGAAAGTGACTGCCAATAGTAAGTGATCAGCAAATATTTGTTGATTTAATTGAGTAATGATTTTAGCCAATCTTTCTGAATGACATTCTATCATTTAACTTCACATCCAGTATAAATTTTTCAGAAAATATGTGTATATATACATATTTCTCTATAGAAATATGCAAACAGCCTGGACTACATGAGAAGATAACAATAAACATGGTGATTACAACTTCTAGAGGTGATCAAGTTGCTCTCTGTATCATTCATTCATTCAAGAAATATTTATTAGTAAGCTTGTGCATTGGGCAGAGGCATGACAATCAGTGTCCTTTTGTTTTTTTAAGATTTATTTATGTATGCATATAAGAACTGGGGTACAGGCTAGAGGTGCGGGGGTGGGGGGGGGTGAAAAGATTCACCAAAGACAGAGTGGGGAACAGAACAGGCAGAATGACTGAATGACTGCTGAGAGAAGCAGCATACGAGACAGGAGAGGTCTGCTGCGCCATGTGGGCTAGCTCCCTGGCTGGGGATCGAACTCACGCTGCAATGGCTGCAGTTAAGTTCATGGTGCCACAACCTAACCCCTTGCACCACCAGGGAGGCCCAAGACAATCACTGTTTTTATATGACTAAGAGATTTCAAAATCAAAGTTTTAATAAGATTTCCCAACCTACTACCCAACTAATCCCACTTGTGCAGAACCACTGCCTTAAAGATTCAGCAAGTTTTTTTGTTTTCAGGACTGGAACAGTCAGCATTGATCTTACAAGTGAAAATTGTTCTGAAGCGACTGATGTGGCCAAAGAATCCTATAAACAAGTGTTAAAGCAGGCATTCCTTCTGGTGTTTGTGATTCTGGCCAACCATGGGGAGGAGAAGCATTGTGGGATGGAGAACTTTTTTGGAGCTAGTGGTACTGGACTTCTGCAGTGGAGGGGGCTCTGGACAGTGTAGTCTTACTCTATCTTTATAACTCTTAAATTGCTCAACTCAGAGTTTTACATAGTATTCTCTTCAACATTTGCTGAATTGAATAACAAGTGCAGTTTCAAAGCATGCTTTGAAAATAGGGATTTCCCCTATAATTTCAACAGCAATGAATGCACCAAAACACTTGTATGCCTTTTTTTTTTTTACTAAAGTTGTTATCCCATGTCACTAAACTCAGAATTGGATAATAGAGTCAGTTTCTGGAACTTTTACTCATTGTATATAGATGAATTTGCAGTGATAGCTTTGAATGATAGAAATAAGGGCTTTTGCTGTTAGAAGAAAAACTGCCTGATGATTGGCATCCTGTTTGGAAATGGCAAAATGTTGGGTTTCAGGATGATTAGCAAGCTGTAATCTCCTTTACCTGCCCTTGAAGTCAGTTTTACTACAAGATGCAAGATGAGTTTCATGTGGGAAACCACCACCCTGCCCCAGCCTTTCCCTCCCACCACCAAGTCTTAACTGGCAGCATTTCTAAGGAAAGCTCTGTAGAGGTAGCAACCAATCATCATAAAAGGGATTCTTTTTACACATCAACATTGCTAGACAAAGAAAAAAAGAAAAAGGAAGCTGTATATGCGTTATGTATCCAGTTGGTATTTGCTTAGTCTTTTTTTGAAGTGCTTTGCATACATTGGTACAAAAAAAGCCATCCACTTTAGCCTGTTCTCATTATAGAGAAAACAAAATTTTAACAAGCTTCTTTTATCTATTTTCATTTTTATACTTGAGCCTCCCCTTGCTAAATTATCCAAGCAAATATTCATACATACTGTTTCTGTTGCCATAGTCCTTCTTGTATTAGTGAAGACTTTTATTCAAAATATCAAAACAAATTGGTAGCAGTCGATGACTACATTAAAAAGCTCAGTATTGTCCTGTTATTAATAAAAGCAGAATTATTTGGGTGGAAGAGATGTCAGCACAGGAGTATCACTTAGCTCAGAAATCCACGTCATCATTTGATACCAAAAGAATTACAGACTGCATACTTAAAACCGTCCCAACAAAATAAAAGGCTAATAAATCACTTGAGAATTGTTGCTAATGTTATTGGGATTTCACAGCTTTTTCGGGAACTGCCATGTATTTGAACAATACTGAATTAATGTGTCCAAAAGAAAAATGAGAAAATAGTTTTAGTCAGGTAAGGAAATGCAGATAAACTTTCTAAAATTAAAAGATACTATTAGTTCAATGTCAACTAAACTATGATATGGTTAATGAGAAATCAACACTATTTTTCCCTTACAGGTGAAACACACATACTCGCTGTCCAGCAAAATCCTGCAAAGCAAAGATCCAACTTTTTTACTGACTATTGGTATTAAATAGTAGGAAAAAATAAAGTTCATAAAAGTTGTGAAAAGGCATCTACGGTAGTATTTTATGGCAGAGCCAATTTCTTATGCATTTTTGTGACTCTCCATAATACCTAAATTCATTTCATAAACATAAGAAGAGCTCAATGTTTACTACTAGCAGAATGGAATTAGCGCTGAATCAAACTCATAAACCAAGATAGTCCTAAATGATACAGTGACTAATCGACATTTAATACTTAAATATTGTGACGGGCCTCATTTTGTATGTAATTTTAATTTTATCTCACCAGAAATGCAAATGTATGTAGATGGATAAATCAATATCAGTTTTTGGTAAAGAATCAGCGGACTTTATAGGAGATTGGATTTTGAATTATTTATTCTATCAGTCTAATATACAGTCACCATTTATCATTTAGAGTAGGATGGTAAGTTAAAGAAACACTTCGATATTTAAGATGAACAGTTCAGGACCTTTTTTAAAATTCAAAGTTATTTTTAACTTTAATTTTATATTTAATATTTACTTCAAGTATTTCATCTTTTCTCACTTCTTTTCCAGTATTCCAATTACATGTATGTTACATTCTTGAAATTGTCTTAGAGCTCTTCAACATTCTGATTCATTTTCTTCATTCTTTATTTTCTTGTATTTCAGTGTGGGAATTTTCTATTGGCCTTCCTTCCAGCACACTGATTCTTTCTTCAGCCATCTCAAGTCTTTCTAGCATTTCCTTTTGATCATTCCTTAGAATTCCATCTTTCTATTATTCATCTGTTCTTGTGTGTTGTCTTCTTTTTCTACAGCATCCATAACTTATTCATTATAGTTATTTTATAATATTGTCTGGTAATTCCAATATCTTTATCATATCTGAGTCTGATTTTGATGATTTCTCCCTTCTGATTGTTTTTTCTTGCCTTAAGTTATGAATGTTGAAAGCCGTGAATATGAATTTAGCTAAGTAGACTTTGATTGTGGGGATATATGTTAATCTGGCTAGGAATTGGGCTTTGTTTAATGATTTTATAGCTCTTGGTGGCAGGAGCATTACATTTCTTAGTCTGCTCACATTTGTCTACCATCTTGACTGGATTTTTTATGTAGTTCTCTTCAGAGAGAATCTGTTGTGTGGGTCTTCCAATACACTGCTATTCTGCTGGAACTCCATTGGTGTGGAAGTAAAAGATGTGTGTTGGGGGAGGCATTCTAACATATTTAAACCTCACCTTTTAGTGGGCTTATGTTTCTGCCCTGTGATTTTCACAAGTGATTTTTTTTTTCTATAGCTTCCACCCATACACTCTTAGGTGAGTCAGGAAGGCTAGATGGAATTGGAGTGAGAGAATGACTTCCTGCCACAGCTGTGGCATAGGCTCTAGTAAAGTCTTACGAACAGAGAAGGAGGCTTTTGTTATGAGGAAAGCTGTTTGAAGGTGTTTTTCACAATAAATACTCTCCCCTGCCCCTTGCCAGAGGTGTGTCTTTATTAGATCTTCACCAAGAAAACTAGTAGGATTTCTGAAGGTAAAGCTCCACAAAAAGGTGGAATACCCCTAAGCTTAGACCCCCAGGAGTTACTCACTCTTACATTAATCCATAGCCAGCCTGCAGCCATTCATCAAAATTGCAATTTATTTCTATCAGAAGGTGTGTTCAGTGGCTTTTGCACTAGGTAAGCAAATTTGACCATGAGGCTAGATACACCTGTTTCTCCACATTTGGAGGCAGTGTTTTTCACTGCAAACTCAGTTCTCTAAGGGACCCTAGGAAAGAAGTTGATTTCAGTTTCTTCAACTATTTCTTGCTGTAAGAATAGGAGTGATGACCTCCCAGTTCTTTAAATGTTGGAAGTAAAGCCCACATTGAATTTTCATTGACTGTCTATAGCAGATGATAATTTCATACTTAGGTCTTTAAAATATTTGTGACTTTCCTTTTGACAATGCATCAACTGCCATTGATTTATATTTTTATTGCCAATAATAAAAAGGACAGAGAACCCTTTTGTATCTCAGGCTGCATGTTTTACATCTATTGTGCTTCCTTTATTTTACCGAAATGCCTATATTTACATGCTTCAGCCACAATCTTAAACATACAAATGGATATAAATTACATCAACCACCCCCTTTAAATGTATGAATAGATGATTTCCTTATTTACATTTTTCCTTTTTATTTTGAAATGCATATCAAAAAAGAGTATACAAGCCACGAAATATTATAAAATTATTATAATTATAAAAAATGTTATGGCAGCCCTAGCAGACTAACACTCTACATGACAATATTTATTTCAGTGGTGATAAACAAGGTCAGGAAAATCACCATGATGTCCTGAATTCTGAAGAATAAAGTTTTCAGGCAACTGTTAACAGAAAGTTGGATGTGTACATGTTTTCTGAGTAGTTTACCTGTGCCATATGATGGACATTCAGAGTTACTCATTATAAACAAATTGATCATTCTCTTTTAATTCTTCATAGTATTTTTCCACTCAAACAAAGATGACAAATGGTAGTATCCATTTTGTATTTTTGCATCCAATCCTGTAAATGAAATGAGTCCCAAGTAATCAGTTTTGTCTGATTATTATTTATGTATATATGTCACAACAAAGAAAAATGGGAAACAACAGAGAACAAACTTCCAAAAAATAAGAGCTGGCTACGGCCTGATTCTTCACCACCACATATTTCTTTTTTTTTTTGATGGTTTTTATTTATTTTTTATTTAAATTTTATTTTTATATTCCCCATACAATTACATCCCCCTTATTTTGACCCCAACCCCTCCTTTCCCCGCCCCCCTCGCCACATATTTCCTTTGAAGGCTTTACTGAAAATCCTTCCTGGAGTAATTTAGAAGGAGTTGATCACAAGGACATCCTCCATAAATATTGAATGTATCAATTAAATTGATATTCTTCTGCCTTTTACTCTCATGTACCCCTGTTGGTGTTAATTTTGCTATATGTCAGATTCTTGATGAAATTTCTCATCCATCACCATCTTGATAAAATAGGGAGATCAGAAGTCAAGTGGGGTTAAATTGGACCTGAAACAGTTTAAGCAATGAAGTGTGTCCCCTCCTCCCCATAGTGATGTTGCTTCTCAGAACCCCTTCCAAAACCAGAGTGCTAATTGTGCCTAGCGAGGCTTTGGGATACAGTCCTGCACCCCCAATCCAGTCTCTGGGGAAATGCAATATCTAAACCTAGCATTGCACAGACAGGCGGTCTCCACAGGGGCAGCAGCTCGGTTGCACCCAGCTAGCTCTCTCTGGCATGGACATCTCCCGGAAAATGGGTGTGGGTGGGCACACCTCAAACCACACCAGCCTGTGAGGCAGAGGCTGTCTACGTCCCTGCCCAAGTGGCTTGCCTGGATGCAGTGTTTTAGTCAGGAGGGGAATAACACTGCTTTGTGGTTGGGCCTATATTTACCCTTTTGTTGTCAACCCTAATCTTGAAATATCACAAACCCACTACATTCTCCATTCAGTTGCTTTTAACTATGCTCTCTGATAACATTTCCTTCACAGATGATAGAGCGCTTCTGATACTATTTTGAGAAGGAATTAAATCATCTCAGTGTCATGGGCTTGCTGTGGGCTCCAAGGACTAGCTTTGACTGTGACTTCTCCCCAGGTATGTCTCACCCTTGTGAGTAGGCTAAACAGATGAGCAAATCTTCACTTGACACTTACAGAGAGGGCTGTCCCTTCCACACCACACCTCCTCTTTTCAGCACTTGTTCTCTGAGTACCCACAGCCAGCAACTGTGATGCTAACTATGATACCAGGGATACAAAGATGGGAAGCTTACTGTGACCTTCACAAACTATCAGAAACTAAACATAAAAATAACCAGCCACGTGGAAAGCACAATTAAATATACCAGGGGCGAATGCATATGTAAAGCACTATGCTTAATCACGGTGACAAGAAGACATAACTGAGAAAGTGGCATTTGAGACAAGACTTTTAAAATGAGCATATTTCTAAATCATATTCAGTGTTGTAAACCAATCTTACCTTAATAAAAGTATAAAAATAAATAGAGGAAATATTTTATCATAAAAATGAGTAGATGAGGAAAGCAGGAAAAGACTTTCTAAACTAATGGAACAGTATGACTTAAGTAAAGTAGTATCAAAGAGTATGACATCTAAATTCCATAGATGTGGCTGTTAAATCAATTGGATTAACTATTTTCAAGTTCTTTATAGTATAACCATTATTATTTTCATTTCAAATGTTACTTTCTGATGCAAAAGTATTTCCCACATTAAGTGTGGTATTTTTTTCCATTTTTGTTTTATACATTTTTATTTTTTGTATTTTTGTGCTGTCTTCATCAGTATCTAAGCTTTCAACACAAGTTTATCTTCCTGATGAATTGAATGTTTATGAATATAAATTATCTTTGTCTGGCTTAGTGCTTTTGGCTTAAAATTACACTTTGTCTAATCTATTAAATTATTTTCGTTAGCTGAAGTAGTAAAACCCATAATAATTGAACCCTAGTCTTCTCACTGGGCCTTGAGAAAGAGTAAGATGGTGAGAGGTGAGCTCAGTCTTGATAGTCCAGCCTCAAGACCAGTGATCAGTGAAGACATGGCTTTGGCATGTAGGAATTAGGAGAATGGTAAAAGAGGGAAAATCTGTAAATAGTCTTAAGTCCATACACAACAGAGCCAGTACAGTAAATGTGACTTTTCTTTTTTGATATTTTGAAACCCAAACGCACTCATTTACCTCTTTGAAAGTTAGATGTGAAGTAGGGAAGGAAGAAGTAAAACCATCACTATTTGCAGATGATAATATACATCGAGAACCCCTAAAACGCCACAGAAAAACTAATCAAACTAATCAATCAGTTTAGTAAAGTAGCAGGATACAAAATCAACACACAAAAATCAGTAGCCTTCCCATACTCAAACAATAAATCTGAAGAAGAAGAAATCAAGGAAACCATCCCTTTTATTATTGAAACAGAAAGCAATCAAATACTTGGGAATAAACCTAACAAAAGAGGTAAAGGACCTATACAAAGAAAACTATAAAACACTGTTAAAAGAAATAGAAGAAGTCACAAAGAAATGGAAAGACATCCCCTGCTCAAGGATTGGAAGAATTAACATTATCAAAATGGCCATCCTACCAAAAGCAATTTACAGATTCAACACTATACCAATAAAAATTTCAATGACATTCTTCAAAGAAATAGAAAAAAATATTGATAAAATTCATAGGGAGCCACCAAAAACCCCAAATAGCTAAAGCTCTCCTGAAAAAAAAAAGAAGGGAATGGAGGCATCACACTCCCAGACTTCAAACTATAGTACAAAGCCATAATAATCAAAACTGCATGGTATTGGAACAAGAACAGACACACGAACCAATGGAACTGAATAGAAATTCCAGAAGTAAACCCACAGATTTATGGTCAACTAATCTTTGACAAAAAAGCAAAGAAAATTTGTTCAATAAATGGTGCTGGGAAAACCAGGTTGCTACATGCAAAAGAATGAAGCTTGACTACTACCTCACACCATGTACAGAAACCAACTCAAAATGGATTAAAGAACTAAACATAAGACCTGAAACCATAAAATACATAGAAATCTAGGTGAAACACTACATGACATACAACTCAGTAACATCTTTAAAGACACATCACCCAAAGCAGTGATAGTGAAGGCAAAGATAAACAGCTGAGACTACATCAAATTAAAGAGCTTCTGTACAGCCAAAGAGACAGTAACCAAAACAAAGAGACATCCCACCAATTGGGAGAAAATTTTTGCACACAACACTAATGATAAAGGACTGATCACAAAAATCTACAAAGAGCTGAAGAGTTTCAACAAAAACAAAGTAAATAATCCAGTTAAAAAAAGGGCATAACCTGTGAGAGCACTACCTCATATTCCTTAAGTAACTTACCCACTTACTGTGGGGCAAAAGCTTTAATGTTACTGTAAACCAATACACACAAGTGAATCCTCAGAGCAGGCCTCACAGCACAAGAACTTTTGGGAAAGTCATCCTGCAACCGAGATCCAGGTTCAACATTCCTAAGGTGTAACTCAATCAGCCAGCCTGCACAAACAAACAAACAAACAAACAAAAAAATGGGCATAAGAGCTAAAAAGGACCTTCTCCAAAGAAGAAATGCAAATGGCTAACCAGCACATGAAAAAATGTTCAGCATCACTTGTAATAAGGGAAATGCAAATCAAAACTACAATGAGATACCATCTTACACCACTGAGAATGGCACATATTAAAAAAACTAGCAATAACAAATGTTGGCGAGGATGTGGAGAAAAAAGAACTCTCCCGCGCTGCTGATGGGAGTACAAACTGGTCCAACCACTGTGGAGAACTGTATGGAGATCTGTTGAGATCTGTTGTGGAGATTGAGAACTGTTCCTCAATCTGCTAAAGATGGAGCTTCCATATGATCCAGTAATTCCACTCTTAGGTATTTACCCAAAGGACACAGAAACATTAATTCAAAAGGACACCTGCACTCCTATGTTTATAGCAGCACTATTTACAATAGGTAGCTATGGAAACAACCCAAATGCCCCAAAATAGGTGGCTGGATCAAGAAGATGTGGTATATATACACCATGGAATATTACTCAGCAATCAGAAAAGATAAACACATGCAATTTGCAGCAACATGGATGGAGCTGGAAGGGATCATGCTCAGCAAAATAAGCCAGAAAGAAAAAGAAAAATACCGGATGGTCTCACTCATAGCAGGAATCTAGAAAACCTAAATAAGGGACCAGGAAAAAGACTAATTATAATAAAGTAAAAATCAAAATCAACAAGCAACTATAAACCAGGGACACACTACAGCGGGTGGGGTGGGGAGAAGGGAGTAGGATCAGAACAAGGGGGGTGGAAATTGTATGGGGACTATAACCAAGATGAAAATGCATACATTGTGCAAAAATGAAAAATGATGTAAAAAATATATAAAATTAAAAAAAGAAAGTTAGATGTGTGGCCCTTTAAAACTGAGTTGTTCGCATTTCCCAGGTGCCCAAAAAGCTAACTTTTCTCCTAAGGAAACTAATGTTCTGCAGTGAAACCATTCAACCCTGGGGCCAGTGGTAGAAAATGGGAGGGAGGATAGTTGCTTATACTTTCTCTTTGTTCATCAAAAAATATATCATTTTGGTGGATTATGTCAGTTGAGCAAAGTGTTATTCACTCAGTTAGGTTAGAAGCGACAGCTCATTTTCACTTCTGCCCAAGAGGGCTGACAAAGAGGACAACACATACCAGCTTTGTGAGTCTGTGAGGAGTGGACAGCCCAGAGACAGAGCTGCAGGCTGAGGGGTCCAGTACTGGAGAATGAGGACTCCACCCAGTACACAGCATCGACATCCCTAAGCCGGAGAGGACAGAACATTCTTAGGATAGCACCAGACATGAACCCTGTGCCCTTTCTTGCCCCTACCTGTGCTGCCAGTTTAGAGGGATTGAGTAAATAGCAACTGGAGGGCTGAGGTGGGATGGAGGAGAAGATAAAGATTCTAGAAAAAGTATTGTTCCCAAGGAGTTGTACTTGAAGAATTGCACCCAGAACTGAAGAGAATTGCTCATCCCTAGACTTGATATCAATGACAAGATCTGGATTTTAGACTGATGAGATTTGGGGAGACATTGTATTTTACATGTGAGAGGGATGTGAATCGAAATGTCCAGGTAGAAGATTGTGACAAATTATATTTGCCAACAACAGCCGTAATAAGATCTGCCTTCTATCAGTCGCCTCTTGTTTGTCCTGTCCAGTCAGCTTAACTTTCTGTAATGTGACCCTGTCACTACCCATCAGTTTTCCTTTGCTTGAATCTAGTTTGACTTCAGTGACTTACTTGTCTAATACATAGAAGGTGGTGGAAGAAATGTTATGCATTTTCGAAGCTCATCATAAGAAGTCTTGCCTCTTCCCCCTGGGTCTTTTAGAACATTTTCTCTTGCTAGAACATTTTGTAAATTTAGTCAACATGCTAAGGGAAGCCCAAGCTCATGAAGATGGACATATAGTATTGTAATTAACAGTCCTGTCAAAGTTCCCAGTCAGCATTGCCTGTGACTAACCCTCTTGACCATCCTGCCCAGTTGAGTATCCAGATGCTAACATCTGGTTGCAAGTACATAACTAGCCACAAGTGAGACCCATCTAGCTGAACCCACATAACACAGCAAACCATGTGAGATAATAATAAATGTAGCTAGGTACTATTTTTAGATAACCATAATACTGAGTTTGTGGTCTTAGAGATGATGAAACATCTTCCTTCGCTGAACATTACAAGTGTCAAAAATGTTTGTTGTTTTTCTATCGCTTTCCCTCCCGCTTCATTTCTGCCATTAAAATATTGTTTTCATTATCTATAGTTTCTATTTATCTTTAGATTCTTGCTTCATTTACCTCTGTCCCCAAGAACTCATTGAAGAAAGATACTTGTTTTAATAATAAATATTCGCAAAAAAAAAAATAAATAATAATAATAAATATTCGCTTAAAAGTGAATTCATTAATCACATAACTTTGTAAACCGCAAGAATTGGGCCCCACATACTCACTTCTCAGCAGTACGGTATGAAGAGAGAGCAGT